CATATTTGTAGAAGAATCTCTTAATATAAATACCTTTTGCAAAGGCGCTACTTTTGAAAAGTGTTCGGTAAGTATTTTAACATCACATTCTGAAAGAGGTATGTCTTTAACAAGAACTTTGCGACACCTTTCTTTACGCTGTTTTCCTTCCTTAGATGCAGGTGTTACTAAATATCTTGCAGAGTCAATTATATGAATTGTTTCAATAACTTTCAAGGCATCTTGTTTGTTTTTAAAAACAATCAGAGCAAAATTTTTTATAAGACCTGACGCATTTAAAATTGCATTATATACAAAATTTACTAATTCAACTTCTCCAAAGTCTTTGAAATGATTAAATATATCTTTAACTTTCACATAATCAGGAAGATCGTGAATTACAACAGAACGGAGCATCTCTGGGTCTAGATTTGTATCCTTAATTTCAATTCGTATACTTCTAGTCTCATCAAAAATAAAACCTGCTTTAACTGCATTTTTTGCACTGTATTCTTTATTGTAAAAAATAAATGCATAGCGAAATGTAACATCGTCATTTGGATTTTCATCATAAATTTTTATTTTTGGAACCAACACTGAATGTATTGATCCAAATTTGGAAAACAGTTTTTTTAAATGATTTTTATCATAATCTAAGTTTTTAGCTCCAACAAATATTTTGTTTTTATTATCAAGTATCGGTGGATATTTTTGTTCTTTTATTTTTAAGTTAGTTGATAGTTTTGCTGATATTAGTATTTCTATGTTGTGGGACAAAAGTGGGGTGGTATTATTCCTAGAAAGTTTTTTCTTTACTGTATTTTTATTACACATATTTGAAATAATCGTCCTTCTGATTGTATGATAAAATGTCACATCTTTACACTTTGATTGAAAAGGATAAATCGAGTTAAATGAAAAATTTCTTTTTAGCAAATGTGAACTGATTGAGAAGTTATTAAATAAACTTTGCATACTTTGAAACAATTTGTAATATCCAATAAAAATAGACATTTACTTCCTTATAAAAGTAACAAATAAAGTAGCTTTATCTACAAAAGCTTTTTTTGTGAGCATAATTCTTAAAAATGAAATGTTTTTACACTGTTAAATGTATCATTTATTTGGTCCATTTGATTCGCAATTTCTTGTAAATCAATGACGTCACAAGATGAGGAATGAAATATTAACTGCCGCAAGCTAAAATTGAGTCAAGATGTGTAAAAAATCCGTTGGATCAACATTAGTAAAATAATATTAGTTAAATCTTTGATAAAATGACATTAACCCACTTTAAAACTAAATCAATGAAATGACAGTTAACCGTTGTCTTTAAATTTGCCTCGTGACATTAGATCACAATCCTTTACACTTTTTTTTAATCCTTTTTTTTTTCAGGGTAAGGACAAGCGAATATTCGTTATAATTCGGATTACCAATTGCAAGATTCAATTTCAGTTAACCGTCCGGTCAGTAACCAAACTTTCACCCTTCGTTCAATAACCGGGTACCCACCTAGGGTTAAATGAACATACAATTCAATTCAAATGGAAGGAAAACAATTACTGGGGTATCATACCCCATACTATGCCATGTTTGGCATAGTATGAGGTATGGAAAAAAATTATTTATTTATTTTTTTATTCGATTTTTTAAGTTTCCCAAGAAAACCTAACGGTCTTGTCACAGAGCACCAGGGAAGTGCATTTTACCAGAAAGCTCTCCTTCCTTACCGTGATGCGAAATATGTCCAAAGCTCGTTTCGAACCTGGATCTCCTGCTTATAAAGCAAGCGCTTTAACCATTGTGCCACGGCCGCAAAAAAATGATAAGCTCCTCAACTAAAGTGGCCCCCTCGGCCTTGGAAACATAAATTCAGTAAAAAAATAATAATAAATTATAAAACATAATAAAAATTTATAAAAGGTAATTATTCAGAAATGTACTTTAAAGAAATTTCTCTTTCAACTGAATCTGTTTTTAAAATCCAAATACGTGGTACACATATGTTAAACTTGGTATACGCATATGATCTAATTTCGTCATTCAGTGAAATTTGGGTCTTGAAAAGTCAATTTCATTGTTATTATTATTATTACACTTCTGTGTTTTTTTATACTTATTTTATTACTTTTTTTAAGCATTGAACACGGTGGAGAAAGACACAAACTATAATAAAAGTACGGTGTCCTACTGCTATTTTTTCTCCTTGTGGCTGCCTTAGAATTCATAATCTACTACGAAACTATGCAAACAATGTACTTATTCAGTTCTAGCCCAAAGAGATTTTTTTTAATTATCTTCGCTTCCAACAAGGCTGCAAGCAACCACTAATTAGTGTTGGAAGTTACTGGAAGAGAAAAGATGAAGATTGTAGAGCAAGATAACAATTGACAGACGACTTAAAAGAATCCAAATTATATGAATCAGGAAAGCAAGATCAAGGAAGCGAATTCTAAAGAACTGATGTTCAAGGAAAAAAACTAGACGAATAAGAGTTTTTGGAGCACTTAGGAACAGTAACAGAAAAAGGACGAGATTTAATTGAATGACGAGTAACACGAGAATGAATTTTAGTAGATGGCACAAGAGACGCTAGCTCTTTAGAGCAGTGCCCATTATAGTATTTGTAGAAAAGAGAAAGAGAAGCAACATTACGACGATGGGACAGAGGTTGAAGGTTGGCTGCATGAGCAGGTCCAACTATGTTTACAATGCGTTTTTGCACCTTGACTAAAAGAGAAAGGGCATCATTAGAAGATCCCCCCCAGATATGGCAACAATATTCCATACAAGGCCGGATTTGAGATTTATAGAGATAGAGAATAGAATCCAGAGTAAGAAAGTGACGAGCTCGATAAAGAGAAGCAACTTTAGCAGATGCTAATTTTGCAACGGATTTGATATAATGTTTCCAAGAAAGATCAGAAGTAAGAGTTAATCGTAGAAGATGAAGGGTAGGAGACTCATCGAGTACATTACCGTTCATAAATATAGGAAGGTCTAAACTATTGCGATAACGATTGGCTGAAAAAAAGTTTTAACTGAATTAAAGTTCACCAGCCACTGTGAGCCCCATGCTGTAGCAGAAGTGAGATCCTTTTCAAGCTCAGATGCCCACTGCAAGCAATCAGAGGGAGTTGGCTTCTTATCGTGACAAGAATAAATGGTAGTATCATCAGCGAACAATGCCACCTTAGATGTGAGAATATCTGGAAGATCGTTAATGTAAATTAAAAAGAGTATAGGGCCAAGGATTGAACCTTGGGGAACCCCTGAGGTTACAGAATAAGAAGAAGAGTGCTGTCCATCAAGGACAACTTTTATACTACGATTGGAAAGAAAGGATTCAATAATCTTAAAGATGTTTCCAGATACACCGTAAGAAGAAAGCTTATGGAGAAGGCCAGCATGCCAAACTTTATTAAGCGCTTTAGAAATGTCAAGAGCAATGGCCTTAACCTCTCCAGATGGGAGATATTATCTAAGTTTATTTGTTTTTTTCTTTCGTAGCATATCTGGCAACAGATGCAGGGGCGAATCCAGGATTTTTTGGTGTTTGAGATAACTAAATTCCTAATATGGAGCAAATACTAAACATTTATATATTTATACTTATGTCAAACAACGATGTTTACAAAAAATTGCGATGAATGGAGCCTGGGAACAAAAAAGCCCAAAAATTATGACCACAACTACCCCAAACGTGAGAGCAACAAGTTGAAAATATTTTTTTTAATATTCTTGACTATAGTTATATTCGTCGATAGATTTTAAAATTTCATACGATAATCTTTTAACATTCAAAAATTATGACCATAAAAAATTTGTAACCCCCTCAAATTGAGGGGGATTTAAATCTTATATGGTCATGATTTTTAAACACTGATAGATTATACTATGAAATATAAAATTTATTAATAGATACAACTTTGGTTGAGAATAGTAAAAAAAATATTTTGTCAACTTGTTGCTTTCACGTTTAGAGTAGTTGTGGCCAAAATTTAAGGGTTTTTTTTGTTCCCAGGCTCCAATCATTGCAATTTCTTGCAAAACATCTTTATTTGACATAAGTATTAACATATAAATACTTGGATTTTCTTCCATGTCTGGAAGTTAGTTATCTCAAGTAACAATAAAATCTGGATTCACCCCTGAAGCATACCTAAAATAATATTAAAAACATTGATTTTGAATGCTATAAGATAGTCGATGTAGCAACATTCCGCGCATGTTTTACAGTTAAAAAATAAAATTTTTATTTTAAATAAGGCTTTAAAATAGATAATTAAGAATAGGAGAGTTTTTTTATTATTATTTTTATCATAGGTCTTTAAAATATGTTTTGGTTCGCAAAAAAGTTCGCATTTTACCGACAACCTAAGTTTAATTTTAAGAAAAGCAGTATATTTTTGCTAATAGAAACAAATTAATAACTTTAACTAATTCATAATATATCATAATTTTTCAATAAAATAACATAAAAAATACTTACAATTTATTCATTCGTAATTTTTGACGTTAAATTTGCAATACTGCGATATTACTGATATTTGTATAATTACCGAATTTATAAAGTTCGATCAAATTAAATATTTTCAATCGATAAAAAAATTAGAATTCCAGTTTTTATTTTATTTTTACAATATTAATTAACAATATTACCTGAGATATTGTCTGTATACTTCGGAAAAATATTTTTAAAATTATTTATAACTTTGTGTGAGTACTTTAAGTGAGCAATTTTACGGTATTTAAAAGCTTTACAACTTAAAATGTAAATGTTTTATTGATTAGATTATGTTTGAAATATGTTAATATAAAAGTTATACAAAACTTTGTATTGTAGCAGCCATTTTGTTTTTCATAATAATTGTTTCTTTACCCCAAAAACAATAAAAGCCGCTGCATAAAAAAAAAAACAAAAAAAAAAAACAGCGCTAATTAGACAAATAAATATTTTCAAAGTAATCACTGAATAATAAAAAATAATTTAAAAAAGTAATATATAAAAATAACGATTCAAAAAAAGAATTCTATTTTCACTAATGTGAAAGAAATTATACACAAATGTTTAACATCATCCATGTTCAAATACTAGAAATATTGTCATAGTAATAAATTAATTTTTGTACTAAATTATTTCACTTTTTTTTATAATCATTTCTTTTAATGTTTTTCAAAATTTCCGTAGTAGTATTTATGATTTTTTTATCAACTACTCCACGTTACATTTAATCTCACTAATTTGTACTTTGTTGAATGCGATACCATTAAGTTTAAGTCAAACCTATATGAAGAAACGAAAATAACATAGCGCACTTTATTATTACGTCAAAAGAGGTACCGTAAAACACATAAATATCTCAACGTTTAATTGACTTCAATACCAGAAGTTACTAACAACCAGAGATCTCAAGTGACTATTTCATTGACGCAATACTCGTGCATTTTTATCGTTTCTTAAAAATAAATTTTTTTAGCCTCACGTGGATCCATTTCAACAGGGCAATATGGACATTTCAACCTGTTAAAACAAATATATACAATACATAACAACATACAATATTTTTTGCAGTCAACATAAACACACACTAATCTATTTAAATAAACCTATGTACGCAGGACATATCAAAAATTAAGAATGAAAGGGTGGGGGGGGGAAGGGAAGGAAGGATTAGGAAACTAGCTCTATGGGCAACGAAGGTATATATATATATATATATATATATATATATATATATATATATATATATATATATATATATATATATATATCTGATTGTATTTAATTATAAAAATTGATACTAAAAATTAAAATCGATAACATTAATTCCACGTAAAAGTACTCAATGGCATGAGTTTTGAAATAGCATAAATATCAACGATATAAAAAGGTATACAAAGATAAACATGTCAAAGATATGCTAAGTTTCAGGCACTGAAATATAGAATTTAATAATTACCAAAACATTATAACAAAGTATTTAAATGTCCCACCCATAAAAGGTTAGACTAACTTCCCTCAGACAAATAAAAATATATTGGAAAGTTATGCTTTATATTCCTTTATTAACTAATCTATTAGGGTTTTCAATTTTTTTATTAGGATTTTATCTAACATAAATGAGTATTTGACTTTATGAAAATCCCGGAAATTTTTTTCTATGATAATTCCGGAAAATTATTTTATTAAAAATTGATCGCATTTAACTGACAAATGGAATTTAGATTACTTTAAAACGGAATTCAGATTATTCAAAAACAAATTTACAAAAAGAAATTTCTAATATTCGAAAAAGTTTAAATGAATTAAAAAGTAAAAAAAAAAAAAGAAAAAAAATTGTTACGAAAATCGATCTCATGAAAATTTTAATTATAGAAAACATATTTGTTTAAGCAAAAGTTGTCGTATGTAAAATTGTATGGGTAATTCCGTGTCAAAACAACAACAAAAATTCAAAAAAATAACCCACTATCTCTAAATGACTTGATTTTTGCAACAAAGATACTTAACTAGACTAAAAAGAATTCCCCAAAGTTGTTTTAAACAAATCGGAATATTTTAGAAGTTATGCTCGTTTAAAATTTAAAACTTAGTAACATTTTTACTCATGATGCTCCCCTAGCTACGTCCTTAGTAACAAGTAAATGCTAATACATACGTTGTTACCTTAACTATATTGTTTCATAATTTGAAATTTTCCACATATTATTAGATGCTAAACTATAAAATTATACCAAGAAATAATATTTTTATTTATTTATTAATAAGTCAATAAGAGTAAATCGGCGTTTTTAATAAAATTGAAAAGTAAACATGCTTACTATAAAAAGAATTACAGAAAAGGTTATGATCTATATATTTCCAAACTTCATAATCTTAAAGTATATATAAACATCTTTAAAAAAAAAAAAAAAAAAACTGAGCTGTTTTTTGACTTACTAATCTAAACAATTTAATTTTTGATTGAAAGTATATTGAGATTGAGACAGAAGATTGATTGGTACTTATGTTTAGGCACAACCTGTGTAAAACTACAATATGCATATTTAATAAACTCAATTAAAAATATTTAAATACTAAAAACAGGTGTTTTTACTCAAAGCTAGTCAAAAAAAAAAGAGGTATTTTCACTTAGGTATAAAACTGCAATATCCATGACATGTCCATAAATAAACTCAATTTTAAATATCAAAACACATTAACTCTTTGAATTGTTTGTGCTTTCATGAATTGATAAATTTTTATACAAATTATTGAACTTCAAATATTCCTTTGTTTTTCTTTGGACTGTAAAACAAAAGAAAATTAGGTAATATTTTTTAATAAATGCAAAATATTGTCATATACATATCATAGACATAAGCAAACTGTCGATTCGAAGTAATGATTGATAAAAGGAAGCAAGAAAATGTCTTTAAGATTCAAGGCCATGTTGGTGCATAAAATTCCATGTCAACTTTGCACATCACTTTGCATCTCGCAATTTTTAAACTTGTAGGTCAAGATAGGGATAATGTCATCACTGCAGTATTTCATCTTAACTTCCTTATGACATACAGGAATAAATTCATGAAAGTCTCTTGTTCCTGGTATTGTTTTTACATTTTTAAATCGTTCAGATTGTAATAATCTTGTTTCTATCAAACTTTCACTTGAAATGAAAATAAATTTTATACCTTTGATGTTGTTAGTGCAATATGTAAACATATCACGTGAGTTTAATATTTGATTTGTAGAAATTCTCTGCAAACTAGCATTAGCTACAAGCTGTTTAACTGTTCCTCCTATACCATTACAAGGTTGCTTTCCATGACTGGTTGCAAAGAAAACCCATTTTGCATCTATTCTAAAGTCTGATTTATGCTGACATAGGTTAAATATATTTTTGCAGTTTTTATATTGAAATGAACAGCCATCAGAAAAGTAGACCATGTTTACAATGCTGGGTATTTTTTGCTTCAGATTATTGATAATTGATTTTTGTACCTAGTAAACCATTGGTACATCATGAGTGTTATCATCTGATATAATGCAATATGAAGTAGAATGCAACACTTGATTTACTTTATAGTACACAACCACTGGATGAAGTGTGCATTGAAGATTATTCAAATGGAAACCTTGTACTTCATCCTGCACAACAAAACTATAGTTTTCTGCAAAATCTCCTAGAATTATTGCGCTACCTGATGGCAGTTCTTCTTTAAGATTTTTCAAATATTTAGATTGGCATTTAGAAATATATGAATGCGTTGTTAGCTTGACTAGTTTTTCCATCACCATATTTACATAATCTTGTATGGTTACAAGCTGTATAACTAAATCTGATCTATCAGTAGTAACCCATTGGTTAAATTTGATAGTATCTTCTTCCTCAAACTGCACTATTAGTTTGAATAGCTTTTCTTCTAATTTAGATGTATTTTTTGGACATTGTGTACATCGATGTAACATGCATTCTTTGTTTTGCATATCACAAACAATAAATTTATATAGTTCGTGGTAATCAATTTTAATGGGTAGGAGAATTAACTTCATGTTTTGATGGTAGATACAAACGCACACACAATGGGTTCCTGATGAGTTTGGCAAAACACACCATTTAGGTCTTAAAACACAAAACTTGGAAAAACCTAACTTTACATGTGGATATAGAATTTTAAATGAGACAAATAACTCTTTTAAGCTTGACAAAAGTAGTCGCTTTTGCATATGGACTTTCCAATTAACACTTACAAAATCCTTTTGACCAGGCATCTGGCGAGAGTTTTCATCATTTTCATAAAAAATTTTCACTAAAGTATTTATTTGATCAGGGAGCATGTTACCTCGCTTAGTTTGTGGAACTGCAAGAACTCCTTCCTTCTTTGTTAAAGATCTAGATTTTATTATTAGATAATTTGAAACACTAAAATACTCACTAGCTGCTTCAATTGACCATTCTTGTGGGCACAAAGTCAATACTTGAATTTTATCCCTAAATGAACTGCATTTTTCAAGTTTATCTTTGATCAAAACTAACATTTTTTCGAACTGAACAACTTTTTTTTTTAAATCAAGAACATATTCATTATCAAAAACTTCAACTTCTGTCAATGAAATTTTTAAAGAACTTGATAACTTTTCTTTGAAAACTTTTGCAATAGTTTAAATTTTTTTTTTCCCAATACTCATACGATTTGCAAATGGCTTTCCGTGAAGCTTGACTGGTGACACATTAATTATACTGAGACAATCAGAAAGTTCTTGTTTGTTTTTATTTATATCAGCTTCTTGTTGAACACTAAATATGTTTTCTTTATTTATACTTTCATTTGTGTAATCATCAGCAATATTAATGTTATCAGTATTAATTTCAGTGGAAGCTTTTAATTTGACTAAGCAATTTGTACAAATTTTTTGACCAGGTACAATATTGATCCTGTTGTTTAAAGCTATGGTTCTTAACGTGACTTCTCTGAGAGATGCTAAATTAAAAAATATAACTTAATAAAGTAAAATGTGCCTACTATTAATAAAAATAAAAAACTTAAAATTATGACAAATTTACTATTATAAAATTTATGACAAACTTTACTAACCTTTGCACGGTCTTTTGTGAACTAACAGTGGATCACAGCATTTATTCTGAAACACAGGGAACTTCTCAAGATAGAACTTTTGATGATGAAAACATAAGTCAATAATCAAAACAGAAGAAACACCAGACCTTAGCGCAACTAAATTTTGCTCATCTGGAGCTAAATCTTGAAAAAAAGTTTATTCCAATGTGGTTTGAAAATGTTAACTTGTGACAATTTGATTTTAAAATCAATCCAACTGAGCATTGTGATGTTCCAGCCATTATAAAAATATTTAATTTTAATATTTTATTTTTCTAAAACTATTATTAAATAAATAATAAATTCTCGCATGAGTAATTATAATCAAAATTCAAATGTTAGAATCAATTGCTCCATTTAATTAATACAAGAAGAAATCAGAAATTCATTTTTATTTTAAACTAAATAAGTGTAATCATTTGATTAGACTTATTTAGTTTAAAATAAAAATGAATTTCTGGGTTTCTTGTTTAATTAATTAAACTGAGCAACTGGTTCTAACATTTAAGTATAACACTTATGCGAGAAATCATTATTTTTTTGTGAGAAATTATTTTAGTTATAATCTTTAAATGGAGATGATAACCAAAACGGTAAATAAAAATGCAAAAATAAAATTGCAAAAATAAATCAATAATAAAATAGATATGTGCATCAAAAAACAATGAAATAGTTTTTGCCTCTTACAGGCATTTATATATAAACTATTTTTGTAAAGATTTAAAGTGAATAGATCAATTTTCTGCAATTAATCTTAAACTAGACATGTTTACTAAAAAATTATTGTTAAAAACCTGGTTTGCATTGCAAAGTTTTTAATCAAATATAAGATCTAATAACTTTAAGTAATGATTTTTGATTTCTTTATTTAAAAGTTTCTATACCTATTAAATTTTGTAAACGAATGGTTAATGTAACTGTGTATACTTTAACATTTTAGTGTTGCTATAGACGTTGCTAAGAGAGCAGAGAATAAAAAAATTTTAAAATTCTTAAACTTCAAAGACCCATAACTCTTAAAATAATGAAATTGACTCCAAATTATTTATGATTATTACTAACGACATTATTAACTGCATTTGTGCCAAAAACCAAGTATTTCTGAGATGGTGGGTTATTTCGACTTGTTGTTTTGACATGGAATTACCCGTATGTAAAAATATGTTAATTTTTTTTCAAATTAATATCAAAATACATCCGGAAATTTCTTGAAAAATTAAAGGTGTTTTAAGTGAATTTCTGGAATTCCGGGAATTTCCGGAAAAAACTCATCGATGTGTCTAAGTTCTTTTCTAAATCTGTCCTTAAATTATTTCTAGAACAATAACTAATATAAAGATACTATTCAATCATATTAAGTAAAATTAAAAAATTTATTACGCTAAAGATTTTTAATTAAAAAAAATATACTTATTGCCATGAGTCAAACGCTGCGTTGCATCTTTAGATATCACATGTCCACAGACTAATCTCATAGGAGGATTACTTTGACCACATTGTTGTCGAAGTATAGGGCATGCAAATACTGAATGAAACTGAAGTTCACGACCCAGATTAATTTCAACCTAAAAAGATATACTTTAGATAAACTAAAATAAAATAGAAAAACTATTTTAAAGGGAAGGATTAACTAATTTTGAAATTAAGATTTCTAGCAAGTTAGGATTTAGAGTTATGTTACATTACAACTTTTGCAAACTCTGAATTTGTTTTCACAGCACACTATTGTTGATATAATAATATCAGAATCGGCTGACATCATTGGCTAATGATGTAGACCTATGTATAGTAGTAGGTGATATCAGCAGCAGTTGGACGCATAGGAAGGCAACTTTCATTTAGTGTTTAGTCAGTAAGGTGGGAGCTTTAAAAGTCAATAGTTAAAAACTGACTCTGGTGTAGCCAGAGTCAGTTTTTAACTATTGACTTATAAAGCTCCCACTTTTAACTATTGACTTATTATTACTTTATTTCTTTACCTGAAGTAATAATAAGTAAGAATAATTTGTTTGAAAAGATGACTGAGAGATGTGTTCATCCTGAAATCCTGACAGTTTTTCTTAGGTTTGGGGATCATTCAATATCAAGTCAAAGGAAAGAATATCACTACTTAGATCAAATTTGTTTATAATGCTTACTTTGGTACAAAGCTTAGGGACAAAAAACAGGCGCCACATCATTTGTGTCATGCTACTTGAATTTGATGCAGTGGCTAAAGGACAAAAAAAGTTTGTTATTTACAAAACCTATGGTTTGGAGAAAACCAAAAGACCATAGCACAGATTGCTACTTTTGTATAACAAAGACAGCATGATTTTCTGGTACGAACAAGGAGAATGATTTTCTGGTACGAACAAGGAGAAGATTGAATATCCTAATGTATATTCTGTGATTAGACCTGTGTCTCACAACAACACCTTGCTGATTCCTGTGCCTCCTAGTTAAATTGACATTTTTAAAAATGATGAATTAGCATAAATTTTTTCTGCTCATTAGTAATTTTGAGAGGAAGCATCAAAGATGTTACATCAACAGCCTTGATGAAACTGAAGATGGTAAACCTCATTTCATCAAACAAACTGAACTAAATGTTTTAGTTCAAGATCTAAATTTACAAAAAGATAAAGCAGAGCTACTTGCATAGGTCTTCTTCGTCTTCAACAGTAGAATCATTTGACAAAGGGCAAGAAGAAGGTATTATGAATGCGCTTGGCTATCATCACAAAGCGCATGAATGGCGTCTGTTCATAGATGCTTTGAAGACAAGATTTAAGGCAATTCTGCTTCAGAATGGTAACTCAAAGCCTTCAGTATCAATATACTATGGTGTGGATATGAAAGAACAATACTTTTTTTGTGTTAATCAACTTTAGGAAACATGGCTGGAATATTTGTGCTGCCTTTAAAGTTATTGAACTAGTGATAGGCATGCAAAGTAGCTACACAAAGAACTGCTACTTCCTGTGCTTGTGGGACAGCAATACTTATAAGCCGCGTTATACACAGAAGCAGTGGCTAATGAGATCTGAAGTCTGAGGAAAACAAAATGTGAAGCACAGTCCACTAGCACAGCCAGACAAAATTTACCTTCCACCTCTTCACATCAAATTAGGATTGATGAAGAACTTTGTAAAAGTTCTTAAAGGCAACTCAGATGCCTTTCAGTACCTCAAAGAGAAATTTCCAAAGATGAGTGATGCCAAAATCATTAAAAAAGTCTTTATAGGACCTCAAATTAGACATGTTATGATGAATGACATGTTTACATCAAAGCTGACTTATTTGCAACAGACAGCTTGGAACTCATTTAAGGCTGCCATTAATAGGTTTCTTGGAAACAGAAAATTAGATGACTACAGAGAACTGGTCAAGAAACTTATAACAGACTAAGGCCATTAGAGCAAATGTGTCTCTTAAGTTGTATTTCCTGCATTCTTATATTGACTTCTTTCATGACACATTTTCACCAGGACATTTCAGTGATGGAACAATACTATCAAGCGAAATATAATACAGGTATGATGGGTGATTTCTGTTGGTTTCTGCAGAGACAGCAGTTCTGCACACAAAAGAAAATCAAGAGCAAGTTACCAATTTTCTACTTCTGCAAAAAAACTTGTTCAAGTTGCAGAAATTTTTTTCTATTTTATTTTTTCTATTTGTTATCAGTTTCTTTTAAACTTTTACATTAAAAAGTGTCAAAATATCAATTTGATTTTTTTAATACTGATCCATATTTATGAGGTTATTAAAAATTTAAATCTAAAATTTATTAATAAAAAGCTAGATTTAAAAAAGGTTTAAAGAATTACAAAGATTTTTTAAGGACCTTTAATGGGGTAGACATTTGTAAACCAAAAGAAACAAAACAGCCAATAATGAACTAATAAAAACAATAGTCAATAACGAAATCGAGTAATTTAAATGAAACTATTGGAGAAAGTTTTGGAAACTGTACCAAAATACAGATTTATTAAATATTTTAGTTAAATTAATTATAACTTTTAAAAGTAGTAATTACAAATAACTGTTCAATCAATAAATTTATTAGAGTATCATTGTATAAAAAAAAAATTACCGGAAGTTCTTCTTTTGTGCTCCATATTCCCTCTACCTGTCTTTGTTGCATAACTTGTCTTATTTGTAAAAGAGTTGGAAGGGCAATACATCCAGCTGTTAAACTAACTTCTAAAGGACTCTGGTTGGAAAGACCAAGTAAAGAACACACATCTTTTGCAAGATGATCACTTACATCAACTAATGAAGCAGAATCAAACAAATCAGCATAGGGAGAGTTTTCTATGCCACGGTTTAAAAAAGCAAAACAACCCATCAATCGTTTAATTTCTAAAATGTATTTTGATTGCTATTTTTAAAAAGAAAAAGAAAAAAAGAAAAAACTTTAAAAGTGGACAAACAATGCGTGTGACTGTACACGCTTTCTGTAACAGCGTGATATATGTTGAATAAATAAAATTTTAATTAAAAACTAACCATCTGCATGCTCTGAGAAAGAAGCAAAAATCTTTGAATAATCTAAGGCTTCTTTATGACGCTGGCGTTCTAATAAACCTAAGAATGTGAGTTTGTGCAGTTTAAACTCCAAACAACTCTTCTTTAAAATCAATTCATCATGGTGCTGACAAGCCCACCTACAATTGCGTCAAAAAAGTCATACACCAAATACTTTTTAATTCATTTATTTTCATTTTTTTAACAAAAATTTTTTATCAACTGAATCATTGAAAAATTGTGACAAAATAAGATTAATCTAATAGAAAATTCATAATTGTAAATAAGTAAAAAAAGTAAATTTTCAATTTATCTGATCTGTAAAGTTGCTCAGCCAATCATAAAATCAAATAGTCAGTCAAAATAAATATTATTCATCAATATATTAAATACTCAGCCGAAAAAAGATCTGTAAAGTTACTCAGCCAATAAAGTAATTAAACCAACTCTGAATAACAACATACTAATTGATTTTTTGTATTTATTTTATAATACTGGTTGGAAAGACTACCTTAACTCTTTAATGGAAATAAAAGCTTTGTCATTTGTATTAAAGTTATGATTGTTATAGTTGACTTCCAGCAACAACCTTCACTATCTACACATGGTAACAATTCTATCAGTTTCAGCTCTAATTTACATAGTTTCAGCACTAATTTAAACATGAAAAAGAATTAATCGGTTTCGAGAAAAATAATAAAGATATGTCACCATTTCAATGAGTTTGATTTTTTTAAAGAAAAAGAAAAAAACATACAACGTACAGCAGTGCAGAATCAAGCCTTTTGTCTTTAATTTCATTCAACATGTAATTTAGGTTGGTAAATGAGTCTTTATGATGAGCTTCTATAACCAAACCAGATTCCTAACAATGTAATAATTATTAAAATCAATCCATAAGATTACTAATAATATAACAATAAATCAAACCATCTGTATCAAAAAAAAACATACCATGAAAATCAAAAAAAAAGCAACTATTTACTTTTATAAAATTCTCAGCAATATCTACTCTTCCTTGACGCAAGAGATGTTCTGCAATAGCTTCATTTAAGAGTTTTCTAGATTCATCATTGAATATTTCTCCTTGTGTTAAACCAGAAAAGTCAGATGAAAAATTCTAACAATAAAACTTCAAGATAACTTCTACTACTAATAAAAATTAAATTAAAAAAAATTAATATTAAAACTTACTCGATCAATTACTTTTCCTATCTTTGACACATAAACATGTAATTCTTTATGTTCTAATGAAACTTTTTTGGTGACATCTTTTACTTTTTTCGCAGTAGCAGCAAGTAAATGGGTTTGCAAAGGAGTCAAATACGAATCACTTTCTGTGACTAGACAAAAATTGATTTAAATTTAATTTGATTTAAATGTTTTAAAATTACTATTATTTTATACTTACTTCAATTTTAATTGTTATTTATTAATTATTATTTTATAATAGTTAAAAAATTAATATTTACTTAATAACTATTTCTTTATTTACACTTTAAACTTTTCTGCTATTTTTATTATCATTAATTCATTTTTTCTTTCTCTTATTATTACCTTTTGCTTTTATTACGGTTTATTACGGCAAAAAACGGTATTATTACAAAGATTTAAACAAATGTTTGTAAAGTTCTAACCGTAACAGTTACTGTTATTGAATTTTATGCAATAAAAAGTTCAATTGTTGATATTTTAAGTGTTAATAGAAGAAAACATTTTTATTTTTGAAATGTTTAAAGATGTTCTTTGTACTTATAACTTAATCAAGAGCTTCTAGGAAATAGAAAAAGATGAAAAAAAGAAAAAGAAAAAATATAATATTTTTGATCAAAAAAAAATCACGAGTATTTATAAAAAAAAATTGGGAAAAAAAAGCAGTCTTATAACAGCTTTAAGAATAGATATTATATAGGATTTAATGATTAGAAATGAACTAAGATTAAACCGTTTAGGCAATCTTAAAATTATTTTAATAGTTAAAACAGTATCAGCAATTTTTTATACAATTGAACATGAAAAAACAGAAAAAATTTATTTATGTTAAATTTATTTATCTTAATACAACAGCCCAAATACTAAAAATAAAAAATATAACATACCTTCATTTAGACTTTGTTTGAACAGATTAATTTCTTCAATTAAATCATCCAGATTTTGTGTACTGGACGATCTATAACTAGCATATTTACTCTTTAATTTATCTTCTTCTTTTTTCACAGCTAGAATGCTCTCCATCACTGATATTATTATTTCATCTGAAAAAAAAGTAACTGAATGAAAATATACAATTGCAAAATTGTTATTTCCAATTGTGCAACTTGCATTTGTTAACTCGTTTTACTGTTTTTAAAATAATTTTCTGAAGAAAAAATTAAAATAAAAAAACAAACAACTGTTTTAAATAAACAAATAACATAAATTACTCAACATTTAACTGTCTAAAGCTAAATTAATTTACAAACAAATAAAAATCATTCAAGGAAATAAAAAATAAAATGTATTATTTTTGATTAAATGCATAAAAATAGAAAAAAACCTTGTAGAAAAGTTTGTTTAACATTACAACATTATCAACTTATTGGCTTTTTAAATAATTTTTGAAACATAAAAAAAAAGTTAGACTAAGTAAAAAATAAATTATACGCTTAAGTTGCAAGTATAATACATACTATATACGTTGGTAAAGAAGTTTATAAAATTGCCCTTAAAAAAAAAGAAAATATTTTTTTAAATTTATTTAAATGTTCAAAAAGATGTCTATAACTATCTATACAAAGTTGCATCCTTTCAAGCTATTTGGCATACATTTTTTTATAGTCTTTTTAGGTATACTTCAAAGTAGCTTTTTTTTTTTTTTAACATCAGTATTATAAACATTTTTTACATCAGCCATCAAGATTTTTTTTTATTTAAGTTAAATAACCCCAAATGTCTGTTACAGTTCTTTGCTTATTTTTTAGTACATAAGTTTCAAAGAATTTCTTTTATTGTATTGACCAGTAATGATGACTCCCCTCCATTTTCAACATAACCTAAATGAACAATTGTTTTAAAGAAGATCTAGAGCATGTTTTTTATCTCAAACATATCGTGTCCTTCTTGGACTTTTACCTTCAACAACCCAAAAAATTTGCAGACTTATATCAATTTATCTCAAGTAAAAACTAAGATAGTTTTATGGGTTATTTCTGAATAGGATTTAATTTTCTTTAGTATATTCATGGGGTATCCATATTTCACGGGGTAGTGAAATGCCATTCTTTTTAAAGAGCTGTGAATAATTTCATTATTTATTAAACAACTTATCAACATCACTGCTTTAATTAAATCCATGTTGTGTTAACCTTTTTTTAATATTAGCGTAGACTTTAGGGTGGTTCAAAAAACTTAAGGGTGGTTCAAAAAACTTTAGGGTGGTTCAAAAAACTTTAGGGTGATTCAAAAAACTTTTTGAAAAATATCTGCAGCTTCTACCTTAATGTGTTCTATTTAAAGTTTTTTTAAATATAAAATATTTTTAGGGTTGCCCTAATAATGGTATAATAATACCCATTAGATCTTGTTGGGTCTACAATGAAGCGAAATTATATAAAAATTTCAAAAATAATCATTTTATATATAAAAAAAATATTATATTGATTTTGCTGTCTAGAAAATGACTTTATTTAACAAAAATAAAAAAATAAGGGTTTTTATAAAGTTTTTAAATCAAAAATTTTTGAATTTTTTTCAAATTATTTTTGAAATTTTTATATAATTTTGCTCCTGAGACCCAACAAGACAAACTTTTGAAAAACTTTTTTGTTAATTAGTATTAGGGATCCATTATATTTTCAAGGGCACAACAAAAATATTTTTATTTCAAAAACTCTTAAATCTATTGTTATTTTATCATATAGAACAAATTAAGGTGAAAACTGCAGCAGTTTTTCAAAAATGTTATTTTTTGAACCATCCTTGGTTGATATTCTCAGCTGTAAAGTTGTAAATGTTTTTTTTAAAGAGCAGTCTAAGTGGGGATAATCTTTAAAACTCACTTTACCATTTTAAAATAGAGCAGTCCACTTTGCAACTGTACTAAATTTTGATGCTTGGTTACATTAACTAGTAACAATTTACCAATTTAAACTAGTAGCGACTATACGTGGAGTATGAATTGTACTGAGAGTGTAAATTTTAATATTAACTTGATATCAAACATTTTCCATATTTGCTCTTTAATACATATCCAAAAAATCTCAACAAGTACTTAAAATGTTCAAAATTAAATACACTTCAATGTGATGTATAGATTATTAATCCTTTCTTCTATTAGTGCAAATATATAAAGTTCTACAAATTTTTTGACCAACCTAAGCAGTAAAAAAATGAGAAAGTGAAATAGGAACACAATTACATGTTCAATAGTGTTTTCCATCATCATTACAACAGGTATTTTGAACAAACTAACAATAAACTTAAGTAAAATAAAAAACAAAGCACTCATGCAGTTTGTTTAACTACAGAATAAAAAACTAAATAACCAGGAAAATGAAATAAAACTAGGGGGAACAAAATAAGAAAAAAAAAAAACTGCTAACACAGGAGAATGGACTACCATAATATTATTATTTTGAATACCATATGTAAGTAAAACAAAATAAAATAGCTTTAAATATATTTTTAGATTAGGTTTAATTTAAACCAAAATCCTTCTTAATAGATTGAGCTATTATCTACTATTAGTTACATCAAATTACTAAAATCTTGTTTTTACAAGCATTTTTAAAGTAGGTTAACATACAAGGCTTGTAAAACTGAGAATATTATTTTGAAAAAACCAAAGCTTCAAATAAATAAACAACATTTGCAAACTGGTATCTTTTTAAAAATGGATTGATAATGATTATTTTAAAAGATATAAAATTTCTTTACAAGTTCACTTTATTCTTGTAAAAAATCTCTGATACTCGTATATAATCAAAGAGGTTGACCAACAAAAATTGATATATATATATATATATATATATATATATATATATATATATATATATATATATATATATATTTATCTTTCTTCTATACAGTATCCATTTCTTCAGCACTTGTAGTTAATTCTGGAAACATGCTTTGGTACTTTGTTAGTAATGATGACTTTAATAAAGATTCACATTTTCGCTTTAATTGCTTTGCTGTGTGTTGGTATGTATTATCTTTGTCTTTAGCCATAGCCTAAAAACACAAACTTGTTAAACTTTTATATAAACTATTTTGTTTCTATTATATTATACTGCAGACTTGAGCTTGCATCACTAATAACATTATATCAAAATTTCCATAGTACTTAATAGTACAATAAAAATAATAACATAATAAATAATAATATTTAGTATTCATATATATTTTTATAACCTAAAACAAGCAATAACCTATAACAAGCTAAAAAGTACAAAGTTTCTGATTTTTTTAGTAACGAAAGTAAAGGAACACTACAATTGGAAGTCTTCTTGACCAATGAAATACCTAACTCTATCTAAGAAACAAAATTCCACTGCCAAAACACAAAGAATTTACATATAAGTTTTGACAAAATTAAACAACTGCATTTTGATGAACAATGAGATTAACATAAAACGCAACTTTAATCAACCTCCTAAATATTATACTTCAATATTCTTTTTTGTTGGCTATTACAAATTTTAATACGCAGAGTGCCATAAAATATTCCCAAGGTATTATTTTCAATAAAAAATTTTCATTTTGGATGACTACTTATAAAGTTTTTAATTTTTTAAAGTTTTTGTAAAAATTTTAAAAATAAAAAAATTTTAAACTTAAAGTTTATAACTTTTACATTTTTTGAGTTTTTATGGGCATTTTTAAAATATAGACGCGAACAGAAATTTACAAACCATTAACTATATAATAACAACATTACAAATAATGGAATGTTTTTATCTATACCAATTGTGCCTATTTTTATCTATTATTTTTGTTAACTGGTGGTATTTTAAAAACGCACAAACTCGTTATGAAATTAAAGACACATGGTTTTTAAACTTAATAGCATTGAGGCCCTATACACAGGTGTTATAATTTGTTAGATGCTTTTGATCTCATACAGCTCATCCACTTCAAATCCTAGCTATTTAAAAAAGATTTGTACAAGATTAGCTAAGTTTCCTGGTCGACAATTATTCTTGATAACCGCCTGCCATTATGTCTAAAAGCTTCATATAGCTGTAGCTGTAAATTTTCTTTTTTCATTTTTTTATTTAGGTACCCCTAGAAGTCCTTACAGTCTTTTCACAGAGCACAGCAAATGAGTATTTAATAGGAAGTTCACGCCTCTTTCCTAACCTCGCAAAACTTGCCCAGAGGTGGGGTTTGAAACACGGACCCTTTGTTACTGAGGCAAGTGTGCTACCACTGCGCCACGGCTGCTCAAATAAAACTGTTAATCCGGCGAATAAACTATTTATATTATAAAACCATAAAGGTTAATAGTTAATAATTAAACCATTGAATTAATATAAAAAACAAATTAACTAGATAGAAATCAACTAAAAAGGTTAAAAATACTTTATGACTTTTGCATGTTTGTGTTTAGTAATCAGAAACTTCTTATGTTTATTACATAATTAGTTTTATTAACTTTGATGATTATTTATAACTTCATTGAAAATGGCAATTATTGTTGAAAGTCTTTGTCAACAAAGTAAATCATAAAAATTGCTTTAAAAGATTACATTACAATAAAAAACAGATACACAAAATTACATTTACAAAAAAAAGGCATACTTTTTAAGTAAAAAATAAGAATATACTAATAAAATCTATAATATATAACAAAACTTTCAAAACTATGACTGTTTAAAAAAATATATATTTAAAACATTTATTTTTGTAAACAAATAATAGTTTAAAAGATTTACGGCTTTGCAGATGTGGCTCTTTACAAACGTGGCTCCGAGAATGAGCCATAATATTAAAGTTTGTTTGCTAATATATTCTTAAAACAATTAATGCTAGAAATCTCAAAACGTTACAAATTGTTAATAATACATTTCAACAGAATACTCTAGAACCTTATTTTGCTTATTCAGCATATTTTTTGAACCAATAGAATTAATTTGTTTGTAGATTTGGTGGGTTTTAAGTGTTCACGAATATTCTTTTTATTTTTCGGCATCAAGATGTTTTGAGAACGTTTAAGTTTATTGTTACACACATAAACTTAAATGTTCTCAGAACGACTAAAAAATGTGGCCAGTTTTTCGCAACTAAATATTATTTCCATGGTCAGTATTCGAGAGCGATCGCTCCCGCTTCCCAACCAAGCCTGCTCAATAAATAAACGCTTTGAAAGTCTAACTTATATTTGATTTATTTTAAAAACAAAATTATTATTAGTGCTAAAGATATAAGATAAGTAAATTTAAAAGTTATGATACAAGTATTACAGATAAAATCATATAAACCAAATAACATTTTTTATTTGGATTTAGTAAGAAAATAGTGCAAATAAATTTAATTTCACTGTAAATGGAAACAAAATATTTCAATGGAAACAAAAATAAAACAAAGTAGAAAAGTGGTATTCTTTGTTTAACTACATTTTTTATTAAAACAAAAGTCTCCAGTTGAACCAAAATGCAAATATTTTTTCAAGAGGAAAACCATAATCTAATTGTCAAATTTTTAATTTTTTTTTAAAAAAACTCTGTGATAATTACATTTACTATTAAACTAAATATTTTACAATCAAAAATATTAAGTTTATATTAAGCTCTCAACCGGAAGTATAATGGCAAAATAATAAATGCTTTTTTGTCAATATCTCAATAAATAAATTGATTTTGTCATTTTAATTAACTTATCTATTCCACACCGATCATTTTTATACATATTCCTTATTTACTTCAATATTTTTTAGTAAAATAATTCATTCTAAAAAAATTGCTTTAAGAGCAAAAAAATTACCATGCGCACCTTTTCTGCATACAAGGCCTTCTCGTAAGAGGCGTGCGATCGTACGCTTTATATGACCACGTATATAGTTCTTTGTTTTAACAACTTGACCACAGCTCTTTGCAAGTTTCGATAGTAAGCACGTTTAAAAAATGCGCTTAAAGAAAATAAAGCAGATGTAAATACAATTTTTAATTTAATTGATTCCATAATTACAATTAAACTGCCACAAAATTTCCTGAGTACTTTAATGCAACTTAATAAAAGCAATCATTGAAAAAAATATTCAGATTAGAGTTTAAGGCTAAATGAATACAGAAGCTATCAAAAAATAATTACAAACCTTTTTATCATGGAACTATAATTTCTAATAAAGATCGGACGCTTTTTTTACACATTTGCAAAGCGCGCGCAAATTAATGATAAACGCACAATAAAAAAAACTTTTAAAAGTGTTTTTAATATGCAAACAAACATTATTTCAGTTTATGGAAAATAAAAAAATTAAAAAAAAAAGTAATGCACAATTTTATTAGTAATGAAATCATTTGCTTTAAACTTTTAATGTATATGCTAAAAGCAAAAAAGAAACCAAGCTTAAACATTACGATCGCTTTCTTCAATAAAAGAAAGCAATCAAATTGTTTAAGGACGGTTTCTTTTGGAGTTTTTGCAAAAGCATCTATTTTAAGTAAAATTATCATATTTTTGTGAGCGCATGCAAAAATCATCCTAAAACATAATTTTTTTTTTTATTTTACTTAAAAATGATGCAATTGAAAAAAGTAATTATGTGTTGGCATTTTTTAAAAAAAGTCTCTGCAACTAATTTTTTTTCATTTTAAATATGTGTTTTCTGTAATAAATAAAAGACTATTGATCGCAAAATTATTTTGAAAAGATTGCTAAAGTAACGCGTTTGTTTTGAAAAATCTTAATCAAACGGCAACCTTTGCATAAGCAAAATTAAAGAAACGTGATGTTTGTTTTTCTGTCTGTCTTAAAGAAATGCGCGCACATTTGTCGATTTGTTGCACCCTGTATCCTATTAACTTTTTAATGAAATTTTAAATTTGCACCACAAAATTTTATTAAATTTCATTACCCTTTCCCTCACTATGGATCCGCCTTTGTATTAGCCTATTTATTCATGGGAAGGAATGATAAAGATTATTAGAGCTGTGATTTTTTCACTTTTGCTTCCAATTAAGTTTAAATTAATTAATACGTGTTTTGATTTTTTTTCTGGTTTTTCCTTTATTTATTTTATCATTCTTTAAATATTTTACTTTTTTAGGTTAATTTTTGTTATATATAAAACTTTAAGGATTTTATTCTCTTTTCAGTTTATGGATTGTTTATTTTAATTTGCTTTGTTTTTTTTTAGCGCAATTTTTAAATGCGCTAATTATCAAAACTTGCAATGAGCCATGGTCAAGTTGTTAAAACAAAGAACTATATGCGTGGTCATATAAGGCGTGTGATCGCACGCCTCTTACAAGAAGGCCTGATAGGTGTTAAAATGATGTAATAATTGGTACACAAATAATTCCCATAGGACATTATTAAAGAATAGGATCATTCCCTATGAACTTTGTTAGCGATTGATATAATTCCCTTTGGACAATATTATTAGTTGGTATAATTCCTCATGGATTGGTTCACAAATAATTCCATTTAGAAATTTTTTATGAAGTAAAAAATTTCTAAATGGAATTATTTGTGCACGAAGGAATTCTAATTTGTGCACAAAGAAATTCTTGTGAAAACCGTTATAAAAGCCTTTACGGTAAACTTAGATAAAATATGATACGAGAGCGAATAATGACTTCATAGACTTTTAATGCAAGTGTAAAATTTAGTATGAACTTAGTTAAAAAACTGAATATTTTGAAATTCATATAAAAATGGGAAGAACAGCTTAAAAAAGAAGATGATAGGACAGAATAAGAAAAAACCGGAAAAATACAGAAAGGTTGAGGTATATTTACCTATTGAAGTACCCACTGAGGGATTTACCTCAGAGACAGCTTCCATCTAATGATGATATTCTAAGATACTATCAATTTATCCTTCGGGAGTCACAAGTAAAATACAAACCCACTTCTAATAATGTTGGTTGCAAATTGAAATCGAAATCCAAGGATCTTGTTTGTGAAAATGGTGTTTGTACATATCCTGATAACTCTTGCTTGGTAAATAGGATTAAAAAAGTTTGGGATAATGCTGGGTTTGGCAAGAAATTTGTGATTTCTGAGTACAATATAAAGACCAAAATGATTAAATTTAATCTAAAATACAAGAAATTGATTAAACTGTCTTCTCTAAACTGGAACAGCAGCCTTGATAAGCAATTAAAGTTAGACAAAGATTTTCTTACAGTATCCTATCAGCTTTTTGACATCTCCACTAAGAATTTTAAAAAAGATATTCTTGCTGATAGATTGAGAACAGATGATGCCAAGCTGGAAGATATAAAGTAAGTTCATTAAATAACACTTTTTTAGTAGTGAGATTTTTTCCGATTTAAAGTAACTTAAGTAATACCATATTATTTCCTTAAAAATATTTACGTTTAACTCCTTCCATGGTTTAGCCATCTTCCAGAAAAAACTAGAACAATTATTAATTTATTTATAAATGTCTTAATAGAATTAACTATTTCTTATTTATTTTTATGAAGACCAAAAGTTGGATAAGAAAGGATATATGGGAACAAACGTTGACGAAGACTACACTAGAAGAGTACTGGATGCAAACAGGAGAAAGAACAAGCTAGATAAGTTGAGAGAGAAAGAATTAGCAATAAACAAACAATTAAACAAGAAAAAGTGAAAGAATGAAGAGCTTGTAAAGGCAAAATTGGATAAGCTCTTTTGCTGGATCATCCACAGACGTACTGAATCTGTGCAATGGATTGATGCCAAACAATCCAGTAACAACGAGAAGTGTACATGGATCAGCAAAGATCAACTCAACGAAATCAGTCACTGCCACCAGTAACAACAGCAATCAAAATAATGCTGCAACCCTTGCCACCATGCCAGCCACGGCTCAAGCGTAAATCTCACTAACCTGACTTTAACACATTTAATCTCCAATCTTCTGCCACTACCAATAAAGCCAATTGCAAACAACTTAATTTTTGGGCAAATAATCCATGCTCACTGAACAGTGCCAAACAAGATGAGCTGACGGCAAGAATAGAAATTGAAGAACCAGCAGACAAACCAGACTTGGTTTTCTTTGCAGAGTCATGGTTCATCGACACATCAGACATTTGACTACCAGGATACTAAATACACACAAAAAAAAGGAGGTAGAGGAGGAGGTGTTGTAATATATATAACAAATGATATACCAGTAGCTGAAACAGATATAGCGCAATTGAACTCATTGGACAGAGAGCAAGTATGGCGAGTTATAAAGTTAGGTAAAGAGTCAATTCTCCTGGGTCGCATTTAACGTCTGCAGGACAACGACAAAGTAATGCTTGAAAAAGTAATAAAAACAATCGAGACTGAAATCAAAGTATTTCAAAACTGGAATGCTCATTTATGTTAGTTTATGGCGACTTCAACTTCAGTCACAACATACGAAGAACTTGACTTGGTTAAATCCCTGGAAAATGATGCAGGAAAAATAACTACAAGTATGCAAGAAATTTCACAATTTACTTAATAACTATTTTCAGTCTACATTTGTCACCCAAGCAAAGTGTGATTTAAATAAAGTTACAATCACGCATTCAGCTGTACAGCAAAAGCTTGAAAATCTAATCGAAACAAAATCTAAAAGGTATGACGGAATGCACCTATGTATACTTTGCAATTGCGCTGCTGCAATCTCTGTACCATTAGCAATGATCTACCACAAGTCCCTCTCTGAAGGCAAAGTACCCAATCTATGTAAACTGTCAAATATAACACCAATCTTCAAGACCGGTAGCAGAAGGAAGCGCTCAAACTACAGACCAATATCACTAACATCAGTACCATGCAAGATAATGGAGAGCTTCATACATGAGCGAATCATGAAGCACTGCTATAACAATGGTCTATTCACAAAAGCTCAACACGGTTTTTTACCTAAGCAGGGCTGTGTGTCTAATCTACTAGAATCTTGTGACATTCTGATGGATGCAATACATCTGGCTATGCCATAAACGTGATATACACTGATTTTGCAAAAGCCTTTGACAAAGTGCCGCACAAAAGACTTTTGCATAAGCTAAAAGCTTATGGTTTATGCAGCTCATTGTTTAGGTGGATATCAAACTGGCTGGCTAACGAAAGCAAAGGGTTGTTGTTTGCGAAGATGAATCTGATGGGAAAGAGGTAACTAGTGGAGTGCCTCAGGGATCGGTGCTAGGACCTTTGCATCCTCTACATTAATGACCTACCAAACAACATAGCTCACCACATCAAGATATATGCCAACGACAGCAAAATACTAGGTATAATCAAAACAGAGGAGGACAAAGCATATCTCCAGCTAGATATCCAGAAAGACTTACAATTCTAGGACTAACCAAACTAGAAAATAGACAAGTTAGAAATGATTTAATTCAGCAATATAAGATTGTGCATGTTGTTAAGAAAAATCGAATTTGCTGTGCCTCAAGTCTACACAAAAACGTTTTCCCAGTATAATCTTCATGGCAATAGCTTAAGACTTACTATACTGATAGTAAAGAACTGTGTCGATAGAGAAAAGTTCTTCACAAACCGCGTAGTCAAGGCATAGAATGTTTTGCCATCAAATGCAGCTTTAGCTATCAAACGCTAATGTCAGTTTGCGGTAAAAAAAAATTTATATGTTAAGTTTGCTTTTACATTTATCTTACATTTTTTGATTAATTTTGATTATGGTGCATACAATTGCACAAAAAGATGTAAAACTGGTACAAATCATATCACAGATAAGGTTTTATTTGTTAAAGTAGTAGTCTAAATAAGTGAAGCAAAAAAATTAATAGATATAGATTACGCCACAGACAATATTTGTCAACAAAGCATATAATGATTTTATGAAACTTCAGTATATGGTTTTTCCAAATTTCATCTTGATTATTTGTCAAGCATTTTTCAAAACCCAAATTTTTTTTTAACCACTCAATCATGACCAGCAAAAATTTATTTTGAGAGGTCAAAATAGCAATTTTAGTCATTTTAGATGGTTGTAAACCATTGACCAAGCATCATTTTCCACTCTGATATATACACATAATAATATAGAGAACACATAATACATTAATATGAAATTTATAAACAAAAACATACTTTATAATTGGTGCCGTGTTTTTTGATTAGTGTCATTAGAAATTTAGCTTCACCAGGAGCAATATGGCGTTCCATTTTCATACCATTAGCAGCTTGCCTCTCAAATTCTTTTTTTTTATAATAAAATATAACAAATTTGAGCAACTCATTTAAACTTATAGTATAATTCAAATAAATTTTTTAAACATTACATACATATTTACATGCATTACTGTCTTCCGCTCAAATTTAAAAATATAAATTGTTGTGATTAAATTAACCATCTAATAAAAAACACTTACCTTTTATAACTGGTTTGTTTAAAGTCTCATCTATTTCCATTTTATTTGTATCTTTCACAACCTTTCAAATTTTTTACGAACAAAAAGAAATTAATAGATTGAATACTAATCTTTACATTTGTTAAGTTAAATATTTATTATTGATTTTATTTGAATTTATTATTTATTATTGATTTTATTTGAATTTATTATTTATTATTGATTTTATTTGAAAAAAAAAACAGTTATCTATGTAAAAGTCTTAATCAGGTTTTAACATACTTAAATGTTTTTAATAACTATTATTTTAACAAAAAATAGTATTAAATAAAATTAAAACTAAGTAATTAGTATATCATTAAGTAACAAATAAGTTTTTTTATAACCATTTATTAAGTATTGATTAAGACATTACTGTTAAATCACACTTACATCAGAATGCTTTGTTTTCTTCCCAGTATTAATTTTTATTGCAGCATTTGAATCATATGCAAGTCCTAGGTCTTTTAAATTATTGTGTAATGTTTTTGATTTATCCCAATGCTTTTGCAATGTTGAACTACATAACAAAAATACTTGTTATTTTTCAAAAAATGCATGATATATAAATTTATTTATGATAATTAAAAAAATAAATCTTACTCTTTTATGGTGGGTTTCTTTAACTTCTTTCTTGCACCTTTAGTAATTTTAATAGTCGCCTTTCTTCGAGATTTTTTTGCTCTAACATTTTTCCCACCCATTTTTCTGTAAATTTTATATATAAAAAAAAAAAAAAAGAAATGCAAAGGTAATTGAAGATAACTTTTATAAAAGGTACAAATTTAGCCCTTAAAATTGCATCATAAAAAAACATACATACATACATACTTACGTATATACATACATACATACATACATACAAACATACATACATACATACATACAAACATACATACATACATACATACAAACATACATACATACATACATACATACATACATACATACATACATACATACATACATACATACATACATACATACATACATACATACATACATACATACATACATACATACATACATACATAACTACATACATGCATACATACATAAGTACATACATACATTCTTTATAAAGTTATATTATTTTATATAAAATGCTGAATTTTATTAAATAGAATTAAAAAAGCTTTTTTGGTTATTTTTGTCTTGTATAAAATTTAAATGAGTAGTAAAACGGCAAAAATGTTAGTTGGCTAGTTAATTTTACATTACATCTTTACTTACAGTTTAAGACTTAAACTTTAAATATAAATTGTGTATATAATGTAAATCTGTAAATGATTTTGCAAAAGTTTTAGCATATTCAACTTAAACATGTTAAAACAGACAGACACTTAATTTGTTTAAGTTGGATATGCTAACACTTTTGCAAAATCATTTACATTATTGTTTAATTTTTAAATCACAAATAATTTATCTCGGTAGGATATGAAAGATATTTGCATTTGAAAAATAGGAAATAAGACTAATAAAAAAAATAGGAAATAAGACTAATAAAAACACTGTGTGCAACTAGTTATTCTTAATTTAGGACTCGTCACGAATTTGCGTAGCTTCCTTCGAATGAACAACCGCATTTTTACGAAGAATGTTTAACAGAGAATGAAACTCGTGCAAACTGTTCGATAAACACGCTTCAAACGTAATCACTTTAAACGGTTTTTCTAACGGTTCAAAAAAACGTTGTTACGTTTTGACATAAAAAATTTCAAATATTAGGATTAAAGTAATTGAAGACGTTGGTGCAAAAACGATGTAACTCCATTTTTACAAATTGTTCAGGAGAATGAAAAAATAGATTACCTTTGAGTAAATGTAATTTTCGTAACAAAAAATAAAAACAAAATACACAAGACTTAATTTTTTGTGTGGAAATAAGCGCGTATTATAATAATACGCGGTTATTTCCACACAAAAAAGTTATTTCCGAAACCAAAATTGGAAACGTAACATTCGAACTTGCAACTTCTTCAAATTCTTCCAATTAAGTTTAATCTAGCTAAACAAACTATAAATTTTTTATACGTCAATAAACAAAGTCTCAAACTAATATATTTTTGGCTAATTCATTGCTTCATCAACTATGTAAACATTTCAGGGGCAAGTACACAACCATCAAACTTAAAAAAATTTATAACTTGCAAAATATGCCAGCAGGATCATTTACTCTAAAGATAAACGTAAACACGCTAAAGCCTTAATGAAAGATATGAAAATGATGGATGTATTTGAAATAAATCACTATATGCATTTAATCTTCATGTATCGATTTAATAACAATCTCTCTCCAGCAAATTTTAATAATAATTTTGAAACAAATGTAAATGAAAATTATAACCTAAGGACAAATTTAAGTGACACATATAAACTGCCTTGGAAATCTGATAAATATAAGGAATATAGCATTACATATAAAGGACCAAAAATATGGAATACCTATCAAAAAGGACTCAAGTGTGTGATTAAGTCGTTAAGCTCATTTATGTATCTAACAAAAACAGAAATTTTTAAAAATTGAAATTTTATATTTTTTTATAATACTTTTATATTTGTGCATATATTACTCGATTATTCGGATCTTGATCATTTTTTCAGTCTTTTTTTTTTTTTTAGTGTTTTTTTTTTTAGTTTTTTTTTTTTTTTTCTTTGTTTGCTTTAGTTTTTAGCGCAATAAAGAATACTATTACTTTTATAGTTTCTTAGTTTTTTTCGATTTTTAGTTTAAAATAAAAATGACTATATTTTTATTTTAAACTAAAAATAAATGCTCTATATGCGATTTTTTTTATGATTGCGATTTTTATTATGACTAATTAACAAGATCTCCAATTTTACTATGGATATGTATTTTTTTGTATATATAAGTTGATTGTATTTATTAAACAGAAAGCGAAATAAATGTAAATAAAAAAAACAAAAAAAAAAAAACATAAAAATATGGTATAACATAAAATTGATTTGATGAGCATATGCTTATATTCATATTTTATACTATATTTTTATGTTACACTATATTTTTGTGTTATACTATATTTTTATTTTATACTATATTTTTATGTTATACTATATTTTTATGTTATACTGTATTGTTATGTTATACTGTATTTTTATGTTATACTGTATTTTTATGTTATACTATATTTTTATGTTATACTATATTTTAGCAGTTTGAATTAAAATACATTTCTACAAAATTATATGAAAAAACTCATAAAGAAAAGAGAATATTAACAGCACTATTCTGTTTATCATGCTTTTGCTATCGTGTTTAAAATCACTACGTGTTTAAAATCAATATCGTCTTTAAAATCAAAAAGCATTTTAAATGAAACAAAATAAATATAAATATATTTTTGTTTAAAATTCTTACTTCATATTTTTGTTTATAATAACTTCTTCTGCTTGTATTTTAAAAAAACTTCTTAAACACTTTTTTTTTTGTTTATACAGAATTTAAGACTTTTATAAAGTCTTTTTTTGAACTTTTTTCTCAGTTAGTTAGATTCAAATTGTCTTAAATAAAATTTAAAAACATTCTTTATTTGGACATTATACATTAACAAAATGTTAAGTATATAAAAGTAAACAAAAAAGTTAAATGTTGATAACAATACTCTATTTCTTCTATTTCCTTTAGGAAATAGAAGAAAATAGAAGAAATAGAGTAATTCAATCGTCTAAATGTCTTTGCAAATGTTAACATAATTCCAACAACGATCAAAGTCTTTACTTAAGAATAGCACTCAAGAACTTGAGGTATCACAGGTCTGGAATTTAAAGCTAAAGTAGGTTTCCATAATATACCATAAATATTACCAAATTATATAACATAAAAACGTAATAAGAATTTTACATTTAAATAGATTTTACAAGATTGCTCGCAGTACACAGTAAGATTTTTAATGCTCATTTTACTTTCAAACTTGGTATACTTGTGTGTGTTACCTGTATTTAGCGCGTGAGTTTTTTTTATTAAAAGATCCTGTTCCTACTAAAAGTTATGCTTCAAAACAACTGTATTTTTAAAAAATCTGCTACTAGGCCTCTGATCTTAGTTCCCTAACCACAACTTACAAATAATAAATTCATTTGAAAAAACTCAGGCAATAGCAGTACACTTTATAAATAAGCCCTGAAAATTTCAAGTAGTTATCATTATTAGTTCAAAAGTTATGATGATTTTTGTGAGACAATTTTCTTGAAAAACGATATCGTAGAAAATCAAAAAACAAGAGGAAAAATTTGTTTTTAAAACTAAAATCCTCCTTTTAAATAAGTTTCTCCTCCCTCTTTATGTAAGTCTTTATCCAATAAACCCTTCTTGATGGCTTTTAGTTTTTTTCTTTTTGCTTTCGTCTCCTCTGATGTTTTGATAATAAAATTTTGGATGCTGCGTTGGCTTATTTTTTCAGGTATAATATTAAAACAGACACCGGTCTGTATTCCAAGTTTTTCATACACTTTAACAAGTCCAAATGGACCTTCAATGAATTGAAGAATGCCCCTATATACACCTAACTGTAGAATTGATCTTTCTACAAAGATTTGCTTAGGAAATTTCATCCAGATAAGATTATTCAGGGACTCATTAGCATTTTGAGTTTCCCCGTGGATGCACTTGCAAAGAAGGTCATCATTTGAAAGATCTTGGAAAATCTTTGACAAGGTAGAAAACATCCACTCTGGTAAACTAATCCTCTCTTTGTGTTTTTTAAGTTTATTTTTCTTATAACTACACCACGATTCTTCTCCATGTAGACAAAACATGTGGCGCTTATCTAAGTTAGAAAAGTTGGTGTAATGATGAAGGATAGCACCTATCCACTTTTTCATTCTGTAAATTTTTTCATCGTTAGAGCAATTTAATTTTAGACTTCTTCGAATAGCAATAGCATAATAATTTGTTATTGAACTAATGGAGTTGTTAGTCAATTTTCCTTTTCCACCAAATGGTGTAGAGGTATTTTTATATTCTTGTACTAGTGTCCTAAGTCGAGAACCTATTCTTTTGTTTACATGTCCAATACATTCAAATTTAACAGGTGTAATACCAAACTGCGCTTCATAGGGTTTGGTGTTAACAACTTCTTTGTAAGACGCTGTCTCTATCTCCAAGATACTCAATATAAACTAGTTTATTTCGACTTACAGATTGTTGAAATATATCAATAACACCTGAGGCTTCCATTGCTCCTGATGACTTAGGATGGTTAATTCTACAATTATGTGCAACTTTCCAATTTGCGTATTCTTTTGTCCCTTTTTTTCCACTCCATATTATACACTGTCTACAATGTTTTGATAACACAATAACATCCAAACAATTTCCTTTGTATACTGCTGTCACTACACCATTCAACGAAGTGTCCTCTTTTTTGCCAAGTTCCATCAATCGATACACGACAAGAATGTATACCTGAGATAATTTCTTCCATTTTTGCTTCATTTATGGCAAAAAAAAAAAAAACGGTTACTATGGCTGTTGCTAGGCACTAAAATTATACCTACCTGTATAAAATTGTAAATATTGTAAAAAGCATAAACAAACTTAAAAAAAAATTTATACCACGAGAGCGTTAAATTTTACATAAGAATATCTAATTTGCCAAAAAAATCAATTTTTGAAAAAATTTTGACTTTTGATTATGTAGGAACCACCTTAAACTATTAATCCATTAAGGGCAATTTCTTGAAAAGCATTTTAACTACTATGAATTGCACAACTAGTGTACGACATTTCTTAAACTATTAGATGAAAAAAAAAAAAAAAAGTTGTACGACATCTAGCTTGTAATTACAATTTACTATACTAAATATAAATTAGTATAAAAAAGAAAAAAAACATTGTAGGATCTTGTCCCCATCAATGGAGGCAGTCTTTCTTAACAACAATAGTCAGAAGTTGTAATTGATGTGCCCTATTATCAAGTTATTCAGAGGGGTTAGACTTTCTCTAACCACGGGAATAAGTTGGATTACCCGGATTTCCTGTCGCCTAATCGCCATAGTCTAGACCAATGTCGGCTATGAATGTGTGCGGGAATTGTTCTAAATTTGTTTTTATATAATTTTAACGAATCACATTTAAATGAGTGATTTGTATGAGTTTTGTAAAGTTGAAGAATTTATTTTTTGCAATAATGTGTTGACAAAAATTCAAGAATTTTACGAAAAAGAAATTAAAAAGAAAGAAGGTTTACTGTTTACTAGCACTGCAAGAAAATGCATACTGCTCTTTGAAAAATGTTTGGCTCGAGGAAGATTTCTAATACACAAATGTGCTGAATTAGTAGACAATGTAAAATCTGTATCAGTTGGCAAGGAACCTGATAGACGAGTAGCTGTATATGTTTTTAATTATAAAAGTAATTTTATTTTTGATTGTACAAGGAAAAAAAGTATGACATCGAAAGACACCAGGTAAAAACTTTTTATTTTTAAGTATATATAAATAAAATTAACGTAAAACGGGGTTTTATTTACTTGAGACAGTAGTGTTACTTGGGAAAAATTAAATAATTTTAGTTTGTTAGGTTGGCATTACCTAACATCCCATATTTCTCAGCTAAGTTTTAACAAACATTCTGAGATAGTAGAGTTAGATGAAAGTTTATTAGGAGTTTTTTTTTCAATTTTTAGTTTGGGCATGTTCAAAGTGACTCCTAAATTATGTTTATTTCCTATAATATGCTTGTTTTATCATTTTTCATCCATCCTATTTCATTCCTTGCATAAGGTTAGGTTTTATAGACCTACTATTAATAACACAATAAGTACTTTCATTTGTTTTAGCTTTTTTCCAAAAAAAAAACAAAGTTGCAAATATAATTAAAAACATAAACTGATTAAACTGATAAACTTAAAATTTATTAAAACATTAATGTAATAATATAAAAGACTATGAGTATCATTCCAATTCAACTATTTGATAAACTTTAACTTCCATTAAAATGTATTAAATATTATTATACTATTGTTTTTTTCAATAAATATTCACTGAAAATTGTTTTTTTTCCATTGTATTTTGAGTTAGTATATTGAGTTAGTATGTTCAGGTAAACCCATAAATTGGGTTACTTGAACTTGGTTACTTTAACTTGAACCAAGCCATTGTCATAAGTAATACCTTGTAGTGGGGTAACAAGTACTTTTTATTTTTTTTTAGTTTTAAGTAATCTTAATCACAAAAATGGAAACTGAGTGGTAATGTTTACACATAGACCCATGTTTTGACATTTTTTGCTCAAATTAATAACTTTTTCATTTAGCCCTACCTTTGTTTAAAGATAAAAACTGTCCCAAGTAATAACTTTTTACGACGTTTTTAATTATAAAACATCTAAATTTATTTTTTTATACGTTGATAATATAAATAAATTACATAATATAGTTAAATATAGAAATTTAATTTAGTATATGAAATCTAGTAGTTAAATTTAGTATATAAGTTGAATAATTAACATCTTTATCTTATTGATTTTTCAAATTGTTCAAATAAAATTTCAGCAGCCTAATAAAGAATCAATATTACCTTTACCATAAAAACGGCTTTTTTTATTAAGAGTGTTTTTTTACAAAACATTTAATTTTTTTATACAAAAAGTTAAATTTTTTTCCGGACCACAAATTAGTACCTTAACAGTTACAAGAGGATGTATTGGTAATGGTTTAGTTCTTACAAATAAATTTTATTAAATTGAATGAAATCAGTATACAATTAAAAATGTATACAATAAAAATTATATTTTACAAGGTTTTACATCTTTGCATCGACATATTGGATGTCCATTGACCCTGCCATTACTTAAATTTTACTGCATTTAATAAGTTTTTTTACTCTACCTTCATAGATTAAATTTAAAATACTCAGTATTATACCATTAATAACAGAATTTTTGCCCAGAGTTTCAAAGTTTTCAGAATTTTGGCCCAGTGTTTCAGAGTTTTCAGAATTTTAGAATATATTTATATACATATATTAGCCCATCCCATTGGGCTAATATATATATATATATATATATATATATATATATATATATATATATATATATATATATATATATATATATATATATATATATATATATATATATATATATATATATATATATATATATATATATATATATATATATATATATATATATATATATATATATATATATATATATATATATATATATACATTGACCCTCATGAACAAGTTTTAATACGCGGAGTGTTGTAAAACATTCCCAAGGGATTGTTTTCTTAATGAATTTTTTTATTTTATTTTAGATAACTATTTATACTCGCGCTATTCATTTAAAGTTTAAAATTTTAAAATTTTTTGAGTTTTTCGGGCATTTTCAAACAATCAGAATAGAAGTTTACAAATCATTAACTATATAATAACGTCATTGCAAGTAAACAAAAGTTTTTTATCTATATCGAGTGTGCGCATTTTTATTACTATTATTTTTGTTAACTAGTGGTATTTTAAAAATGCACACATTAATTATGAAATTAAAAAAACACGGTTTTTAATTATGATAGCGTTGAGGCCCAATAAACAGCAATTAGAAATTTGTTAGATGCTTTTTTTTTCTCATACCGATCACCCACTTCAAGCCCTGGGTGTTTAATCGGAGTTTGTACAAGGTTAGCTAAATTTCCTGGCCGACCATTATTCTTGTTAACCTCATGCCATCATGTCAGAGAGCTTCATATAGCCGTAGCCGTAAGTTAAACTGTTAAACTAAAGAATAAACTATTTATATCATAAAACCATAAAAGGTTAAAAAATAGTAAAGATAAAACTACTTCACTTTAAAATATCTTTTTGCAAAAACAAAATGAATAAGTTTCTAATTTTGAAATTATTTACATATAAACTTTTAAGAAGAGCAGAGATTATTGTGATCTTGCGGAAAAAATCAGACCATTAGGTGAAAATTAACAAAAAGGGAACTGTTTCACACACCTTGAATTTCATGAAATTTAAGTTGCATTTCTCAAAAATCAGGCAGGTTTTTATTCCGCGTAGTAAAATACTCAAAGAGATCAATAGAATGGCTGACTAAATTTCTTTTTAGGAAATTGCAGTTTTTGACCTGCAACTTTTTTGATTCTGCATTTTTTTAAAATAAAACTTAATATCATAAGTTTTGATACTTTAGTCTTATTACTTAAGAATAATTATGTCATAAAGTAACAAATTGTTTAAAAACAATAGTTTAAAATCAGATGTAAAATAAGAAAAAACGAAGAAAATAACTCTAAACCGTTTTTTTTTTTTAATGACAGACTTTTTTTAAAATCAGTAGAAATATAAAATAAAAATGAAATTAATAGAAATAGCTTTTTGATTTTATCTTGTCAAGAATAAATGTAATAAGTATTTGGTGCTGGTCACAATATAAAAATGGTAAAAAGTTCTATACTCAAAAACAAAGGAAGGTTCGAAAAGATGTAAAAACGGATAGAATCAAAACTGAAATCCTTTTGAAAGCAGTTTTTGTTGATAAAGACCAGCCACTTGGTCTTTAGTTTGAAAAATGCCAACGGATAAAACTTCCTCAGACTTTTTGGGAACGGATAAAACTTCCTCAGACTTTTTGGTATGAATTCCAAAAGTTTTCGAATCTTTCAAAGTTGCTAACAACATATCAGAACTCACAGCAAAATTGTAAATCTGTTAAGCATAGTTTAAAAAATTTATTTTAAAAATAAAATGCAGAGTAGAATATTTATTTCTTAAAAAAAAAACGTATTTCTTGTTTTAAGAAAAATATTTCATAATAAATCCTTTGACCATTCTTTTATGTGCTTTCGCCTAGCACCTCTTCACTCTATCACCTTTCTCTTTGTTCTTTATCGTTCTCCTTCTTCCCATGATACACTCTTTTAGATGTTATCTCTGATCAAATTGACCATGCCCTCTCTCTTTACCCCTCTGCCAATATTGTTGTTGTTGGTGATTTTAATGCCCATCACACTGAATGGCTTGGCTCTAACACCACTGATCCTGCTGGCACTATAGCCTTTAACTTCTGCGTTTCTCAATCTCTTACTCAGATAGTTAACTTTGTGACTCGTTTTCCTGACAACCCTAATCATTTACCTTCACTCCTTGACTTATGTCTTGTCTCTGACCCTAGCTTATGTTCATTATCTCCCTTTTCTCCCTTAGGTGGTTCTGACCATGCAATGATCTCTATAAATCATTCTTCTCGTACTTCTTTTTTGGGCTCACCTTATCATCGCACCACCTACTACTACCCTAAAGCTGACTGGGATTCTTTTCGTGATTTTCTTCGTGATGATCCTTGGGCTTATGTTTTTTCTCTCTCAGCTGACAAATGCGCCTCCTATGTAACCTTCTGGATTCAGGCTGGAATGGAAGCTTTTATTCCTTTGCGTCGGTTTCAAGTAAAGCGTCATTCTACTCCATGGTTTTCTCCTTCTTGTGCGACTGCTATATCCAATTGTAATCATCTTTTTCATTCAAAAAAACAACTCTCTTGAGAACAAACAGCTATTTATTATTGCAAGAAATCGATGTAAAAAGGTGCTTTCTGATGCTAAACTCCATTATTCTCAGTTCACTAAATCTCGCATATTATCGCAGAAGTTAGGCTCTAAAGACTTTTGGAAAATCTTCAACAGCATTATTAACAAGGGTAGATCTAACATTCCATCCCTCATTCATGGGACTGATCTTATAACCTCTCCCAAGGATAAGGCAGAACTGTTTGCAAAGAACTTTTCTTCTAATTCCACTCTTAAATCTTATGGACATTCTCTTCCTTCCATTCCAGTCAAACAGGTTGACCCATTGTTAGACATTCCAATCACTCCGGCTTCTGTTGCTAAAGTCATATCTCAATTAAACTCGTCTACAGCTTGTGGTCCAGACAACATTCCTGTCACAATCTTACAGAATTGTTCTCCAGAACTTTCTTCAATTCTCTCTAAACTATTTAACAAGTGTTTGACTGAGTCTTGTTTTCCTGCTTGTTGGAAAATGGCATCTGTGGTTCCAATATTCAAAAACTCTGGAGAAAATTTTGACCCCTCCAATTATCGTCCGATCAGTCTTCTTTCTGTTATTAGCAAGGTTTTTGAGTCTTTGATCAACAAATTCCTCACATCTCATCTTGAGTCAAATAAACTACTGTCAGACAATCAATACGGTTTTTGGTCCTCTCGCTCTACGGCCGACTTGCTAACTGCTGTAATTGAAAGATTTTATCGTGCATTAGATGGAGGCAGTGAGGCTAGGGCTATTGCTCTTGACATATCTAAAGCTTTTGACAAAGTTTAGCATGCTGGTCTTCTCCATAAGCTTGCTTCATATGGTGTTTCTAGGAAAGTTTTTGAGATTATCAAATCATTTCTTTCTAACCGGTTTATTAAAGTCATCCTTGAAGGCCAACACTCTTCTTTATTTGGAGTATCTGCTAAGCTTGAACCTTTTTCCCATCGTTGTAAAGTTGTATCTCTTTCTCTTTTCTACAAATACTATCATGGTCACTGCTCAAAGGAGTTATCATCTCTATTTCCATCAACTAAAATTCATTCTCGTTTTACTCATCATTCAGTTAAGTCTCATTTGTTTACTGTATCTGTCCCTGCATGCTCTAAAAACTTTTATTCATCTAGTTTTTTTCCCCGCACTTTAATCCTTTGGAACTCTCTCCCATCTTCATGTTTTCCTGACTCATACAACCTTCAACTTTTCAAGTCTTCTGTCAACCGTTTCCTTGCTCTTTAACTCTGTTCTTTTTTTTCCTAGTAACTCCCAACTTAATAGTGGTTGCTTGCAGCCTTGTTGGGAGTGAATGCAAATTAAAAAAAAAAAAAAAAGAAAAAAAAAAGATTCAATTTTGCTGTGCTTACTGTAAAATTTATTCAAGGTAATGTTGATCGTGTGATGAGCTTAAAATATTTCAAATAAAGAGTTCTTGTATAAAAACATTAAAAAAAGAAGAAGAGTGAATTCAAGGAGCTAGCTACAGCAACTACTTCCTTGCTTTCTAATTTTTGAATGGTTCTGATAAATTGAATTTTGATCCAATATCTAATTGCAAACTCTTAACTTTAAAAGCACATTTAAAAATTATTATTTTTTACATATTTTCTTGAGATATTTGTCTTAAGCTGAAAATTTATAAGTATATGAATATTTATTGCACATTTGCAGCGTTTAAACGCTGAATTCTAAAGCAAACTTGCTTTTTTTGGAGTTTGAGAAATTTCTTAAAATATTTGTATGTTTATACTTATGTCAAATAATATTGCTTTTTAAAAAGTTGCAATAATTGGAAGCTGGGAACAAAAAAACCCTATAATATAATCCCCTTGCCCCAAACGTGAAAGTAACAAGTTGAGGAAATAAATTTTTGCTATTTTTAACTAAATTTATATTCATCAATAAATTTTAAGTATTGTTTTACAATCTCTAAGCGTTCAAAAAATATGAATATATAAAATTTGTAAACCCCTTAAAGTGAGAGGGTTTAAACTTTATATAGTTATAATTTATGAACTCTGAGAGATATTTCTATGAAACTCAAATTTTATCAATGAATATAAACAAAGTTAAGAATTTCAAAAAAATTGTTTCACTAACTTGTTGGTCTCAGGTTTGGGGCAGGGGGGATGAAATTTCAGGGCTTTTTTAGTTTCCAGCCTCCAATCATCACAATATTTTGCAAAGCATCATTGTTTGATATAAGTATAAACATACAAATGTTTTGAGTTTGCGCCATGTTTGTTAGCTATCTCAAACACCAAAAAATGCTAGATCCTTCACTGAGATGTGGTTCGATGCCTACTCTAGGTATTTTTTCGACATAAAGGAAGCATGAACTTCCAAGTGAAATGCTTCTCTGTGGTGCTCTGTGATGCAACAATTAATTCTTTTTGAAGCTTCTAAAATAACCATAGAAAAAATTTGTATATATATTTTGAATGACATTGATACGTTTTGATCTAATTTAGTTTAAAACAAAAGATCGAAAATCCTTTACCCAATATTTCAAGGAAACCATTTTTAATTCGGATTTGTTTGATCCAAGCTCTCGTAACAGTATTTAGATAAAAAAAATATTTAATAACAAAATTAGGCAAAAGTTATAAAGTTTGTTGTATAACTGGAAAAAAGAAACAAAAAATAACTTTACAGTAGCCAAAGTGTTAATTTATCTACCATAATTAGTAAGATAGGTGCAACATATTTCTTAAATTAATAAGTATTGGTGCCAATGCTTGGAAATCGCCCTAAATTTAGTCAAAAATCACCAAAAACGTAACTTCGAACAATTGACACGAATATTTCTATCAAGAAAAAATAAAAAATAAAAAATTTTTTAATATAAATATGACCTCTTCGCCACTCATTAGCCACTCCGCATAAAAATTGGTTGTCAAAAAAAAAATTATAGGATGGGCTAATATATATATATATATATATATATATATATATATATATATATATATATATATATATATATATATATATATATATATATATATATATATATATATATATATATATATATATATATATATATATATATATATATATATATATATATATTATGTTAATTCATATCCCCAAAGTCGTGAAGGCAGACAAGGAAGCTACTTAATTGTGGTTATAACCCTCTCTAAACTTCAAAACACCTACCTTTCACTTTTGAAGGGAGCACTCTAGCACCACACTCCTACTGTGATTGAGTGATTTCACGGGCTGAATATTTCCAGAAACATAGGATAGATTTAAACTTTAATTTAAAAATCAGCATCTCGGAAACCCATCAAAACTGCACAAGTGTAAAGTTGTAAATTAATCTTTATATCCACCCCATAAAATCCAGGTTGGCATTCAGCAATGCTGATGCTAAAGTAATCCTATCTTTTCTTTACTGTATCATAGCAACTACCTGAATCTATAAAAGTGTTGTCATGTAAAACTACATTTTTTTCTCAAATTCATTCATGACAAGTCATAGCAAGTTCATTCAAAAGTTTTATGTTATTAAGTTTTAAAATCTAATATTAATCTATTTTATTAGGTAAAAATGTTCATTTACATGATTATGGCTCTTTTAATATTATAAAATCAAGCACCTAACATCAAAGTAACTAACTGTTATTATCAATAAAATGCATGTGCTATTGTTTGATAACAATTGACATTTTGAAGTCAAGATTGCAAAAGTGTTGTTTTCTCTAGGTTATTTATAGAAGAACAAAACAATATTTTTGGCAAAACAGAGTATTTTTAAAACAAAATATTAATAAAAAGCAATTTTATTAAATAAGACAGCATTTGGTTTCTGTTTATTATTATTTTCAACCCCTCAGTATTAAGTACAAAAAGTATTAAAATACAAAAAGTTTGCTTTTAGAAAAAGTAGTAGCACTCGAAATAATGCCTAATTAAACTTCAGGACAAAATGATACTTGGATCAACTAAAATAGTTATGGCTGATTAAGTTTGATTGATAAGAGTTGCAGGTCAAACTTTATAATATATTAAAAAAATTTATAAGCAGAAAGTTAAGGTTATTAAATTAGCAAAATTTGAATGTGTTTTTAACAAGAATAAATATAGTTTTAAGATTTTAACAGTCTATTATTCAAAAGCTGAATAAATGTAAATGAATTTTTTTGAATGAAATGATTGAATACGATTGGTAGGATAAACATTGTTTTAAAAACATCACAATTTAAGTTAAATAAAGTAGTTTTTGTTTTAAAATTTTAAAAATTAGTAAATGAAAAAATTTACATATACAAATGATTAATAAATTTATATTTTAAAAAGATTTAACTTATTTACTTTTATAATGTTAAATAATGGTTAAAATAAGTTACTTGAGTGATTTAGTTGTAATTTGTATTGTGTTTTAGAATTGAGAAAAAGAGACCTGACAAAGAGATATTTATTCCAAGGTACAGAAGAGCATGTGATGATTTAGCAACAAAGGTTAGCTCAACACAAAGTGATATTTCAATTATAAAAAAACAAGATAAAGAATATAGAGGAAAAAACAAGAGTAATAAAAAATTAGAAAATGGTGTTCCTATAAATAATAAAAACAGTTCTGTTAATAAAATTAAAAGTAAATCATCAAGTTTTAAAAATGATGGAGGTTGTGATCAAAATGATGGAGGTTGTGATCAAAATGATGGAGGTTGTGATCAAAATGATGGAGGTTGTGATCAAATCAATAATGGAGGTCATGATCAAAATGATGGTGGTTGTGATCAAATCAATAAGATGCCCAATGAATGTGGTAATACTTATAATGAATTGACTAGTTCCTATCAATTGCAAAGCCAACTAGAAAATGAGCTAACAACATCTTTACCAATTGATAGCAGCTTGTCAAAAAATAGTAACAAGATATCTTTAATTCATCCTGAAACAACTATCCCTTCAATGTTATGCATTCAAAATATAGCGTTTAAGGATAATGCAACTATAACTTTTGAAAATTTTAAAACAGATACTGTGTCAACAGTTCATGCACACACTGTCACAGTAGAAATCATTCAAGAACTTTTACTTGACATACTTAGCAAGATAGAAATTTTACTGGCCCCAGATTACAGCTTTAATGTAGCCATACCAGTTTGCTCTGAAAATTTTGAAAACCAAACTTTATCTAGTTGTGATAATAAAATAAAAAATCATTTACAAGTTCCTAATAATAACAAGCTTTTGACAGCTAGTGAAGTAGAAAATGATTCTTTTTCATGCATTTCAGCTAACTGCCATGGAACTTTTATTGATCAAATAGTGAATGTTTCTGAGGAATTGGTTTTAGACAACTATCATACAGATAGTTCTCTGAAAATGGATTCTCAGAATGATAATTCTCATATTTCTGAGAAAGGTAATTCTCAGCAACATCTACCTCACAATTCTCATACAGATGATTTTCAAGAAGATAGTTCTCAGAAAAGTGAACATTTGAAATCATCCAAGTCTTCTAGTAAATTATCCAAGAAAGAAAAAAAATTAAAGAGAAATAAAAAAAAAAAAAAAGTTTGTAGCAGCATTGTTGAAAAAGATGACAATCATCATATTGAAGTAACTAAAACAGTTGAAGACCAATTGAACGATTGTGGAAATGATTGGGATTTGAATTGGACAGATGATGGAACTTGTTTAAATAATGCTATTTTAGAAGTATGATACTTTAGTCATTTTTTAAATTTATTTATTGTTTTCTATGTAAAATTTTTTAACTAATAATTTTCAGTTTTCATCATTAACTGGTATCAAAGATCCAATTGTTGAAGAAGCTCAAATAATTGATTACTTAAGCTTTTCCACAAAAGATATTGTTCTAGACGAGGGTGGTGAGTAAATCATAAATGTTTGAATTATTTGGATTAAAGCCTTCAATTTGTTTTAACTATTTAAGTTTTAGAAGCTTTATTTAGTTGAATTCTTTCAATAATTTGAATTTTTTAATTGATTAAAAATTATATGTTAGATAAAATATAATATTTTGAATAAAATATAATACTTGACAAAAATAATAATAATTGTAACAATAGTTTATATTTTGATATTTTGCCTCATGAATTTCATACTTATTTGATATTTTACATTGTAAACCATAATTAATATATATTTTGCAACCAAATTAATAAGTGCATACATTGACTGATATAAATTGTACATACATTGACTTAATTAACACGAAATGCAGGATGCATGTACTTGCATCAGGGAAAGGTTTAGAGTTAGGTTTAGCATAAAAATTGGCAACCCTAGCTCTGAGTCAATCTTTGATTGTGCATCATTATTATTCAATGAATGATTTTTGTAAAAAGAATCTGGCTATCTTTA